GATTAGAAAATAAATGCAGGTCAATAAGAATTTTTTAATAATAATAATAATAATAATAATAATAATAATTACATATATAAGAAAGTCTGAGAGACATCGCTAATTATGTGTGCCAGAACATCATCTGACAGATCTTTTTCACAATAATAATGATAATAATAATATTACAAGGCAAGCAACGTTTGTAAAAAGGTTTATAATTTTTTGTAGATTTATGTAATTTTATACATGAATTTTTTTTTTAAATATAATTTGAAGAAGACAATCTGTTGAAATATTGTTTAACATTGTCAAACTGTTTTTTTTCTTTTCTTAAATCGTGCTCTTCTCTTAACTGTTGAAAAATATTGGAAGAGTTTCGTCAATCATTTTGTTTGTTATTATTATTATTAAATGAGCGAAGAGTAGATCGATGAAATGATAGTGTAACAAATATACGACGCTGAGTAAACACACCATCACACTTAATCTAATTGACGTCACATACGTTTACAGAGTTTGGTAAAAGTAATGTATAACCCTACCAGTGGAACTCATTTTAAAAAAATACCATCAGATAGATTAGCCCACTACACTGGGAGGGTCTTCGGTTAAGGTCATTCCCAAGAATCTAGAAGTGACTCCAAAATCGCCTTGGTTGCCCCATCCTTGAAACCTAAAAAAAAAATATGGCGCCCGGTCTTATGAAGTGATGTGTGCGTCAGGTCCAAGGAGACATTCCCAGTTAGTCATGACAATCAAATCTGTCGTTCGATACATTCACTGTCGCCCATCTTAATCGTCCGGTTCACACTCCTCTCTGGTCTTTCGGACAGAAGTAGAAGTTTATCTCTTGTTTCCTGTTTAGGATTGCGTTTCCGGTTCCTTCTGAAGTCTGCCTCAATTCTATATTCCTAACATTTGTTCTTTCTCACCTCATCGGTAGTGGAAAGAGCGATAACACTTAGTGGATTTGAGAAACAAAAATTTTATTAATTTCACCTGGCAGTAGCACTGGCTGCTCGTCCAATAAACGGCTAATATTAACTTTATCAACATTTTCGAATGCGGATGTGTTTCTTTACAATAGCCTATAAAGGCGTACGATTTTTCTACTTTATGCTTCTACTGCAGCCATGAATATTTATCAAAAATTGGATTTTTTATTTGTCCTTTACTAAACTAATAAAACGCCACACAGTAACATTCTATCTTGAGTGGCCTTTGGGCCTTGTATTGGGTGAATATTACTAAAAATAAAAAGACAAAATATGTAAATATGAATACATCCAAAAAATAAAGATCAGAAGCTTGGAGAGACATAGCTGGTGTTGTCAATTATTTTCTGTTGGATACAGTCACTTACCCAAGATCTGGGGTAAGGCAAGGCTGTACATATATTCATGCTATTTGCACAAATTTCGATGTTAAGTGATACTTAACGCGTACAGGGATTATATTTTCTTTACATTAATAAAACTCTCCTGAGCAGATGTGCAGTTTCACTCATTGCCATTGTTAGAATCGCTTCAAAACAATGGCTACCAGTAATCTTGTTAATGTTCTTGCCTGTAGCTTTTATGATCATACCCAGAGCTCAAATTATTATACGTTTAGAGTTAAGGTCCTACATTTATTTTTACAATTTCAAGATTTTTATATTTATCTATTTTGTAATATGCTTTAACAGGTATAATTTTTTTCTGATACCACTGTCATATCCATGAGAAGTCATTTGTTTTGCAAAACTTTAATTATACTTTCTTTAAAAATGGATTCGGTAAAGGTTGTTGATGTAATATAATGTTTTTGACGTATGTTTATAGTTGATAGAATATAATCCTTCGAAATACTTTCGACGTAAAGAATTATGTTAGGGTAGCAGTTGTAAAATCAAACTTATAGCTAGTTTTCAACCTGTGTGGTATGAGCGAGTTTAAATGACTGTTTAAGCGTAAATCTCTTTTATATTCGTAGATTTTTGGATTTCGAGATGTCTCGCCGATATAAGAGCTTTTACATTTTAAATAATTTATTTATGCGAAAAATACCGACATCTGAATCGCTAAATCCGATCTGTTAGCTTCTATTTGTACGTCATAATGAATAGTAAAGTTGCAAAGAACAATGACGTAATGGCTTTCTGTTATTGGTTCACAGATGTTTCATACCACTTTCAGCACGTTTTGTTCATCAACGACCTTTTCGATAACATCAGTTACGAAATTGGTATTTAAACTGATGTCACAATAATTTATTCCTGTCCAAATAGTATGTCCGGGCGGTCAAAGTAAAATGGCCAGCTGACCTTCAATTACTTCTTACCTAAGGTAAGAAATGGCTTGTAAATTTTAACGCATGCAAAACTGCCGTCTTTTAAATATATCAGAAAACTATTTTGAATTCAGTCAGCATGGCCGAGGCTAACCTCCTGAAGAGAAGCTCATTACTGCTCCTCTTTTACCACTGATATGAAGTGAAATGATTATATTAAATCAATTATTAGGTCTACTGCTAGGAAAGTTGATTTACCTTGCAAGTCTATAAATCTAAGGAAATTGAATATAGAATAGGCTGAGGCAGTTTAGCCCCAACACCGAAAATTGGTACAGACCCAAAAGCATCAATCTGAAAACCAAAGTCATGTTCTTAAATAGCCTTGTCAAATTGAGACTTTCATACGGATGTTATGCGTGACGCCTAACCCGTTCAGAAAAATGTAAACTCTCATCTGTATACAACCGCTTCCTATGATCAAGGGGAAGAAACCTTGAACAACTGAAACCTGAGGGTCTTGGTAAAGATCATCCATTTTTGAACAGTGTGGATTTCTGAGAAATAATATCAATGACCTGCGTATCAGCTTCAGCCACTTTACCACCGACGTGATGCGGCTGCTCTGTGTTTTTTCTATAACTGTTTTCATGGTAATTGTTCTAAGCAGCTCTCCTTCTTGGTACCACGGCCGCATGAACTTTAGCGCAGTACTAGATTGGCAATTAGGTCTCATCGTTTTACTGTTGAAATAGCTAGATGCAACCGTAAATTCTATTCTAACAGTTTCTTTTCTCGCACTTTTCGCCTATGGAACTGTCTGCCAGTTTCTTGTTTCCCTGTCACCTACGATCTTCAAAAATGTATGTGCAACATCAATTGCAATCTTCTATCGAGATTTATTTTGAACAAATGCAAAATTGTGGCACAAGGCCGAAAAAGTGGAGGGGTGAGATGAGGCTGGTCATCACTGCTATCCTATACCTAGCTAATCCGATTCACAACCCACCTGTCCATCATCAATCAATCCCCCATTCACCGTAATACCACATACATTCAGGGGACCTAAAAAAATGCACACCATGACATGAAAATTTGAAAATTGCATGATTTTTTTTTCACAAAAATTAACGAATGGTGAGAGGCGGGGTAGATGATATGAATATAAAACAAACAAAAGAAACAAGACTGGTGACGTTTTGAGCCGTCCACCCCTCAAAAAAGAGAGGCCGCTGTATTCTGCCTTTTAGACAAAACCAAGAGGCTCTCTCGCTAAGGGAGAGAGAAGAAAGGACAAAATAAATACAGCCATGAGGAGAGGGGGGAAAAAGGCTGATCCGGTCGGGATGAAAAGAGGAGGGGGACAAAAAACAAACTGGGGAGACTGGGAATCTCGACATGGATCATAACAAAAGATGCAACCTGGAACAGGCCGTGAACAACACTTACATTAACTAAGTACACAAAAAGTGGTCTAACCTAACCAGGGGGACGGGGAGGGCTCCACAGGAAACCACCACGATGTGACGTAAGTGGGCCTAAAAGAGAAAATCAAGAAAATCTCAATGTTCTGTCTTCCCGAATCCTGTCCTTTATTATTTCTCAATAACACCTTTCTCATTTTCTTTAATTCTCAGTAACTCCTTACATCTTAGTGGCACTATTGCCTTGCGTGAAATAAAAAGATTTTTAAAAAAATATAACGCACAAAAATAATAACGTATCTTCCAGTAAATATTGCGCCCTGTCTTATATGAAACTTAGATGTCAAAATTGGTCACTATGTGCTCAAAAGTCTCGCCATGTTGCTCACATAATCTACATATTGGGTTCGCACAATGTTTTATTACTTGTGCCTGGTAACTCCTGCTGAAGAGGCTTTGTTCCTGCGCAGCTATTATTAATAGTAGTATTATTATTAAACAAAATGATTGACATAACACTTGCAGTATTTTTAACAGCAAAGAGAAGAGTACGATTTAAGAAAAGAAAAAGAAAAGAAAAAACACAGTGTTTGATAATGCTGAACAATATTTCAACAGAATATCTGTCTTCAAGGTATATTTTTAAAAAAGACTTTTAAATCTACAAAAATTATAAGTCTTTGTACAAATGTTGCTTGTAATTTTGACAAACACCTTAAGGGGCACAATCTGCTGAAAAATATTTAGAATCTACCGACCTTTTGATCCTTAAAACGCATGAGGATACAAATTACTAACTTCTGAGCCCAGAGAAATGAATAGAATGACAGGAGAGTTCCGAAAGATTTATACTGTTTGATTGATTCCTCTTAGTAAGTAATCAACTAACGGAAAATTTCGAGATGAACACGATCACCATTATATTAAACATGTTTTATTTGCATGCCTTCACGCTGGTGGCGTTTCATTAGTTTTGATGTGTTCATTACCAGGAAAATCGCTTTTTTTTCATGACAAGACAAGCAACATTTGTACAAAGACATAATTTTCATAGATTATTATTATTATTATTATTATTATTAATGGATGGCTTCATTGAGTCACTTTCCCAAATGCAACTTGTCAGTTTATCTTTTCTTTTTTCCGTGTTTGCCTCTTTCAGACTGGCTCGCTTTTCATTTCTGTAAAGGGCGTGTCGCCAAAGAGCTTCCACAAACAAGAGCGTTGCTAAACTTAGAGATCATCAAGACAAATGAAATGATGTAACATTTACGTATAAAATAAATGTTTTATTTTCATTTCTCGCCTCCTCCCCGTCCTTAGATCCTCTTCTTTTCTTCTTTTCTCTTGTCTCCCTCCTCCTCTCCCTCCTTCCATCTCTCTTTCTCTCCTCTCTCTCCTCTCTCTCTCTCTCTCTCTCTCTCTCTCTGTCAATTTCTTTCTATTTTCAATTTGCAGCTCGTGTCAAAATTTAGAATGTTTGCAATTAACAGAATTACATAAATACACGATCCGCCTGGATGAAGATACAATACATTGGTACCTGATTAAAATAACGTTGATAAAGAAACAAGTTGTTTCAGATTTTTAAATTCTATCTCTGTCTATCTTTCTTTTTTTTCTTTCTTTCCGATTTCTTTCCCTCTCAGACATTCTCTTGCTCTATCTATCTATCTATCTATCTATCTATCTATCTATCTATCTATCTATCTATCTATCTATCTCATTCCATTAATATTATAATCTATCTATCTATCTATCTATCTCATTCCATTAATATTATAATCTATCTATCTATTTATCTATCTATCTATCTATCTATCTATCTATCTATCTCATTCCATTAATATTATAATCTATCTATCTATCTATCTATCTATCTATCTATCTATCTATCTATCTCATTCCATTAATATTATTCTCATGTCTCTCTATCTGACTGCCTGCCTTACTCTATTCTCTATCTATCTCTCTCTCTCTCTCTCTCTCTCTATATATATATATATATATATATATATATATATATATATATATATATATATATCAGTCTGTACATTATCTGTCTATATCTATCTGTTTGTTCATTATCTATCTATCTATCTCAGTTTATTTATTATCTATCTATCTATATATATATATATATATATATATATATATATATATATATATATATATATATATATCAGTCTGTTTATCTATCTGTCTTGGTCTCTCCTTATCTATCTCAGGTCCATTCATAATCCATCTCGGTCCGTTCATTTTCTATTTATCTATCTATTTGTGTATGTTCGTGTATTTCTATAAATACACACTACTATGATTTATGCAAATAAATGGGAGTTGGCTACGTTATCATTTTTAGTAAAACAGTAAATAACTTAGCAGAAAAGCCACCAGAGGTTGGTCTGCCTCAAAAGTTTTTTGTACTCTCTTTGTCTTTGCGTCTAAAATGGGACATTCTGGAGAGGTTAATATTTATATCAGGTGGTAAGGCTCGTATTTTAAGTTACCAAAGAGATTGATTATCTGCAATCTGCATTTTGAGATACTATAAATGTTATAATGATGCAAGCAATAATACCAGTGGCGACAGCAACAATTATGCTAATTGTTCATTGAAAATTGACGAGCATTGCATGTGTGTTTTAGAACTTCAGTTGCGAATATTTTCTCGTGTATTAGTATTTATATGAACAAATATTCAGGAATACATATATACATAGATATATACACACAGAGACATAAACACATATGATGCGTTTATTTTGCTTGTATTTTTTGCCAGTGTGTTTTGGATGGAGTCTGGTAGGTTTGTGTGTGTGTCTAAATGTGTTCTAATGGAGATGTGGTCGGATTTAAACACACAGACAAACCTACCATATATATATATATATATATATATATATATATATATATATATATTGCAAGATCTAAAAGGTCAGCCAATCTAACAATGATCTCATCTCACAATCCTCACTCTTGCTCCATATGTGACCTCCTTTGTAAATCACTAGCCGGTCTTAAATGCCACTTAAGATTACCGCACAAAATATCTGAATCAATAAGCTGTCAGATCCTCATACGTCGAAACCGACGGGGGAGTCCATTATATATATATATATATATATATATATATATATATATATATATATATATATATGATTAGGTGAATATATTTCTTTGTATGTATGCTCAAGATGGGAGTTACGATTGTAGACACAAATATCAAGCAGGATTTCAAATATATGGGAAGAGTTTTAACAGAGGATGGGAAATGTAACACCGAAATCCGAACACGCATTAAACTAACAAAAGAAGCAATTGAAAAGCTAAGCAAGTTGCTGAGAAACAGAATTTTTTTTTTAGAAACAAAGAAAAGAGTGATGGATTGCTATGAGGAATTTATCTTCTTATATGGCAGTGAGTGTTGGACAATTCCCCACGGATGAGAAAAAAAGAGGCAGAAAAATATAGTTCTACAAAAGGATACTATCTGGAGTGAAGTAGGACAGATATATATATATATATATATATATATATATATATATATATATATATATATGCTTCTTCCCTCATCCTTATTGTTGACGGTTGGGGATCATGGACAGTACTGATGATTTTGAATTCAGAATTTTCATTCTCCTAGACTGGTTGCCAAGCATGGTAAGAGAGTCCATGCTATTTAACCCAAGGGTATTTACTATATCAGATTGATTAAACTTTAAATTAGTTAATATTCCCTAAATACATTTTCTGAAAAGTATATTTTATTTATTTAAAGATTATTTACTAAAGAGTTGGTCGAAAATAATCAATACCACAATGCCTAAGCAAAAAAAAAAAAAAAACGTAAATAAAAACGCAAAAGTGCTCAATACAATAAGTAGAGCAAAATCTACAAAGCATAATGAGCCAGAACCTACCTACCAAGTTTTTACCTAACAAATCTTCAGGGTACTACTGGGTCAGTAATACCCTGAAGATCCGTTAGGTGAAACCTTGGTAGGTAGATAGATTCTGGCTCACTAGGATTATATATATATATATATATATATATATATATATATAGCCCTTGAAAATATATTTCAATTGAGCACTGTTGAGTGATAATTCTATAAACAACAGCCACCTGCGTTAATGCAAAGCTCTTCAGTAAAATGAATTGGGAGCACTCCGGCTGATTGGCATTTGTTTTCATTTGTAAAACAATACGCTAGATTTAGTTGTTTCTGTCTGTCGAATAAAGATAGCTTAGTGGTAGAAACTCTGACTGGTCGGTTGGGTTTCGATCCGGCCTTGAAGTATTCGGATGTCTAGTCGCACTGAGGAGCTGTGATACAGCGAAAC